TTTTTTTGATTGGGTCTTTTATCTTGGGAGCTCTACTTTTTTTCAGTTCTTTATATATTCTAGATCAGTGGTGGTGAACCTGTGGCATGCAAGCCAAGGTGGGCTGTTTTTATCAATGAGAGCTCTATAAGGTTCGCCATCACTGTTCTAGATATTAGATTCTCTGTCTGAGGAGTAGATGACAAACATTTTCTCTCATCCTGCAGGTTGTCTTTTCACTCTGTTGGTTGTTTATTTTGCTGTACAGAAGCTTTTTAATTTGATACAATCCTATTTGTTGATTTTTCTGTATTATTTCTTTTGCAACTGGGGTTCTGTTCAGAAAGTCCTTGCCTGTACCTACATCTATCTTCAAGAGTTTTACTTATTTTATCCTCCTGCAGGTTAAGGGTTTCTGTTTTAACATTTAGAACTTTGATCCATTTTTATTTTAGGTTAGCCACTGAAAACAACCAAATAAGTGATAGAGGGGAGCCTGACAGTTGCTGTTTTACTACTCTGGTGAGAAATGTGGACAGCCACTTTCCCCAGCATCACTTATTAGAGAGGCTTTCTTCCAGGGTATGTTTTGGCCTTTTGTTAAAAAGTTAAGATGACTGAATATACACTGGGCTGTTTCAATGATCCATATGTCTGCTTTTGTGCCAGTACCATGTTATTGTTATTATTATAGCTTTGTAAAATAACTAGAAATCTTGGATTGTAATGTCCCCTGCTTTGCTGCTGTTGTCCAGGATTAGTTCTGCGCATTTTTTTGGTACCAGGGATCAAATGTGCATTTGTTTTTTAAGACAGAAAAAAATAAGAAACAGCTCAAAATGAATACTCATATACATTCATTTTATGTGTGTATATGCGTGAGTGTGGTGGTTGGAATTAAACCCAGGACCTTGTGCATGCCAAGCAGGTGTTCTGTGATGAGCTATACCACCAGTCCTTCTATGCTTTTATTTTTATTTTGGGGGCTATTTTTGGAGCAGGGTTTTATTACATAGTTCAGGCTGGCCTTGAACTCACTATGTAGCCTAGGCTGGCGTTACTTGCTGTGATCTTTCTGCCTCAGCCTCCTGAATGCTGGGATTACAGGCATGCACCACTATATCTGGCTTCTTATGCTTTTCAAGTCAAGAAAGCCCTGGGGAGGTCATCACATATTTCTATTTTTTTGAAATATACATGGGCACTCTAGTTCGATGCTGTCCGATTCACAGGGTGATGTGCTTACTTATATTCTAGCAAAATAATTTGTTGGATGAAATATGACTTTTGTTTAAACGAAAACAAAAATGCATATTTCAAAGGCCTAAAAGTCACATTCCATTTCCTTCCCCAAAGCAATATACTGTTTATCTTTTAAAGAGAAAAATAATGTTAACTTCCAGATTCCTTCATAAATGCTTCCACTGTGACAAAGAAGAGATTCACTGCCCTCCAATCCCTTCTGTAGCCACAGACAGCAATCAAATAAGCAATGGAGGGGATCTTGGGGATTGCTGTTTTACTAGTTTGAAAATGACTTCTCATTAGAACACTAAATTCTAGGGCTATTCTTTTCTAGAATTTAAGGGCTCAGACTGCTACTAAGTGGATGACGTAGTAGAAAAGGGCCCTTTGCCAGTTTTACAAAACAATGAATGGCTGGAAGCTGGATGAAACTAAGGATGTTGAATTACACATTCTGCTAGTGGAAATTCCTCTGAAACATATTCCAGGTGACTCTAGGTACACGGGTTATAATTAGGCATGGTCAGCATAGTAGCTCATTGGACTAAGCAAGACAGTGGATATAAGCACGTGAACCCTCCATTCTTAAAGATCACTCATGCACACACATCTATCTAAAAGGAAACCAAGAGCCCATGGCTAGAAGAGTCATTCAGAAAGGTTAATTTCTCTGCATTACTTGAAAGGCAGAGGTCCACACGGAGTGGTAAAGTCCCCAAAGGCAGGAGCAGGAATCTCAAGTAGTGGTACCTCCTTGGGGGAGCTCTTTAAAATCTTCTGTTGTGACTGTACCACCTGCACGGAAATGTTTGGTTTATTGTGCAGTAGGGTGATTTTGGAAACAATAAATAATAAAGTAGCAATCCAGCATAGAATAAATCAAAGGTAAAACGCACAAAAATCAACTAGAAAAAAATGTAAATCAGTGAAAATCACCACCTCTGCCTACAGCAGAGGAAACAATCACTCCTCTTTGTCATTTTGCAGAAACTACAGGTCATTAACAAGAAAGGGTGGGAAATACTTGTCTGAAAATATCTAAGCACTCATTCCATCTGTGGCTTGAAAGTTATTTCAAAGTCTTATTGCAAATATACTGTTGTTCAGCAAAAGGGAGGCAAACATCTTTTTCTTATAACAAATAAGTTGCCAAATCCTATTCTTCATATAAAGTTAATTTTGAAAGCATCAACTTTGATTACATTTACAAAGAACTTTATCCATTTCACTTTATGGTCCACAAAACACTTTACAAGCTGCCATCTTAAAAAAAAAAAAAAGTTATTGGAGTTGGGTGCAATTACTCCTGCCTGAAATTCCAGCACTCTAGGAGGCTCAGGCAGGAGGGACACAAATTTGAGGCCAGCCTGGGCAATTAAGCAAGACCTTGTCTCAAAACAAAAAGAAGGGTGGGGGATTTAGCTCAGTGGTATCATCTTTGCCTTACAAGCACAAGGTCCCGAGTTTGATCCCCAGTACCAAAAAATAAAGAGGGGGGGGTGTAGCTCATCAAGAAGACCTTGGGTTCAATCCCAAGTACTGCGAA